AGTCATTCTCCATGTGTATCCATCTTTTCAATTCTCTTCCCAACGCAATCAAGGGCGAAAATGATTTGTTTTAAATTTAAGCATATGAGAAAATATTTAGTTTATAAGGAATTTTAGAGTGTTTCTTCGTTTTTAAAATTTAAATGGTATGTGCCTCTTGAAGTTTGTATCTTTATTTTTATGGGTCTGATTTTATTTGTTTAGTTTAAGTGACTTTAACCCTGTGCATTTTTGTATTATTATGGCAATAAACAATTCTGATTCTTACTATGAGACCTAATGCCGTAGGTTATAGCGATAGTTTCTTATACAAATACAAATTGTGTATATCCTTATTTTGTTTCTTTTCAATATACTGTGTGCATGTCAATATTTACCTAATTTCACTAAACTCGCTTAGATCTTTTTAGCAAAAATGTTTATTCAGCCATCCCCAGGCACCTGTAAAACGATTTACATCTTATCCCATTTGTTTCAAGTACTAGGAATAAATTTTTTTCTGTTTAATATGCTGTTTATTATGCTGTTCTGAACTATACATAGTTTTAATTGACTCGATTCCCGTACGTAGGGCGGATCCACAGCTCGACGGAGTTTGTATTCATTGATACAGGTCAATAATATTTACCTAATTTCATTTCAGCTTCTTTTATTGAAAACAAGTGTATCAAACCCCCCTCAGACACATTTAAAAAACTATTCACATCAAAGTTACACCACGGAAGTCTCAATATGTTAATTTCCCCCAAACTTTCACAGCCTCGTCGGTGAATCTCAAGGGTCGAACTGGGATATTTAGACACATTTACAACCCACAACAAACCCTTACACAATTCATTTCGCATCCTTTGCTCTGCCGGCTCCAATAAATATTTGCAAGTTAGGCAGGGCAGGGCAGGTAGCCCAGAGTTCAACGCCTCCACACCAAGGCCACCAAAAACTGCCCCAGAATTGCAAGGGTCCCCTCGGGTCGGCCCTTCTCGGCCTATGCAAACTTTTTGTTGTTGCCCAACACAGAGGAACATTTCCTTGTTCAAAATAACGTCTTCGGGTTGTAAAAGTGGCGGGAAGAGGGTAAAATATCTTCTTTCTCGACGGGAACGAATTGGTTTTGTTTTGATATACATCATAGTACATTTGCCTTTTAGGGAACACATTTTCAGAGGTGTATAAATTATTATTAGATAAGTTTATTATCGTGTGTCTTATTTTTGCACCAGAGTATCGCTTACAGTTGTTTATCAGCTCTTTTCGAAGGTGTATACATTATTATTAGATAAGTTTTTTATCGTGTTTGTTATTTTTGCACCAGAGTATCGCTTACAGTTGTTTATCAGCTCTTTTCGAAGCTGTATACATTATTATTAGATAAGTTTATTATCGTGTTTGTTATTTTTGCACCAGAGTATCGCTTACAGTTGTTTATCAGCTCTTTTCGAAGCTGTATACATTATTATTAGATAAGTTTATTATCGTATTTGTTATTTTTGCACCAGAGTATCGCTTACAGTTGTTTATCAGCTCTTTTCGAAGCTGTATACATTATTATTAGTTAAGTTTATTATCGTGTTTGTTATTTTTGCACCAGAGTATCGCTTACAGTTGTTTATCAGCTCTTTTCAGGGGTGTATACATTATTATTAGTTCAGTTTATTATAGTGTTTGTTATTTCCCGACTTCCCACTACCATCAAAAGGAGGAGGTTCCAATTCGTTTGTGGCAAAGTTTTTTTTCGCCGCTTAGTTGTTTATCAACTCGACTTTTATGTGGTTGAAGTAAGAGATCAAATTGACAAACGAAAAATCGGTACATCATTGTGGTGGTGTTTCCAGACTAGCAAAACAGGCTGATAATACGTTCCACCAACAAAACTGAAATCTGGTCACTTCATAATGACAATAACGATTTGGGGAAGATAAAATTGAGAAGGTGCAAATAGGTTATTTTGATACAATCTATCAAAGAAATATTCGTCAATCTATCATAGATTTTTGAGCTTCAAATAACTGTTTCTGGCTCAAAAACCAGCTGATCAGTCAGTAACCAAATTGTCATCCCATTCGGCATTCATTCCCTCATATTTACCTTTAAAAAATCACCCTAGTGCTTTGGGCATAGTAGAAAAGAAAATGAATCAAAATACACATCTTCAGATTATAAATAGCACCTATGATTGTTCAAAAGACGATGGTAAAATTAAAAATTCAATCTACTTTGACATCAAGCTAAAACACACTAACTCCTCTTCAACGTAGTGGTTTCAAATCACATCTTTGGCCAGTCCACTGCGCTGGCGGCAAACAAAAAAACACCGCAAGGAAGTTAACCCGTGCGATACGGTAGCGGAATCACAATGCGTATTCAATGAATCCCACAGACGCTTCACGTATAAAAGGCGGTTTCGTAAAATATAATTCGTCAAATTTGGCGACACACGTGTGGGCCGCGAAGCATTGTGACAGTGGGGGCGAGGGGCGCCGGGCCCTCAGAATAAATACTTGCCGAGACATTGCGTCATTCACAAAAGAATATCGAAAAGGAAGAAATCATTTTTCCAGGTAGATCGCAACTGAGGGCGATTTTACAGATCATTCAAACGGGGGAGGTGAGGGGGACGACAAAAACTCAAAACTGCTCCTTGGACTGGAGAGGATAGCGTAATCCTACTGTGGCTCATAAACACTTACATTGGAGTACTCTCTCACATGCAGTAGGTCATAAATACTTACATTGACGTACTCTCTCACATGTAATGGATCATAAACATTTACATTGACGTACTCTCTCACATGTAGTGGATCATAAACATTTACATTGACGTACTCTCTCACATCTAGTGGGTCATAAACACTTACATTGACGTACTCTCCCACAACTAGTGGATCATAAACATTTACATTGACGTGCTCTCTCACATGTAGTGGATCATAAACATTTACATTGACGTACTCTCTCACATGTAGCGGATCATAAACACTTACATTGACGTACTCTCTCATATATATTGGATCATAAACATTTACATTGAAACACTTTCTCACATGTAGTGGATCATAAACATTTACATTGACGCACTTTCTCACATGTAGTGGATCATAAACATTTACATTGGAGTACTCTCTCACATGTAGTGGATCATAAACACTTACATTGACGTACTCTCTCACATGCAATGGATCATAAACACTTACATTGACGTACTCTCTTGCATGTAAGGGATCATAAACACATACTTTAGATTACTAGCGTTTTTCTTTGAAACTCTTGCATAGAGTCAAAAAGTTTGAATGCCACAAAGCCCCTGTCAACTCGGCGTCTTATCTGACCCGTTTCAGTATTTGCAGTCGTTATCAGTATACCTGAGGTGACAATATAGGTGATAAGAGATGATCGTCGCCGCACCACCCTTCGACAACACAACCCTTAGATAACAAGGGCAAACTTTGGACCTCACCTCTTCCACGGAGTAGCGAACACTGCTAGCTGTTCATAGCAGTTGTAGCTCCATCAGTTATTGCCAAGATGCACTGCTGTTCATAGGAGTTGTGGCAGTTGTGGTTCCATCAGTTATTGCCAAGATACACTGCTGTTCATAGCAGTTGTAGCTCCATCAGTTATTGCCAAGATGCAATGCTGTTCATAGGAGTTGTGGCAGTAGTATGTTTTCTATGGTTGTGGTTCAATCAGCTATGTTATTGCCAACATGGCAAAAGTTTATATAGAGGGCAAAGTAATACGATTTTGCAAAATATAGAGTTTCTAATATGGTTATTGTTGCAAAACGTGTTATCTACGCTTAAAACAGTATTTTAACAAAATAAGACAAAATAAATCTTATTATAAGTGTGCCTAATGCCTGAGGGACAACTGAGTGTTTATATTTGGTTTATTTAGGGTGGATTTTGCGATTAGGGAATGCTTTATCATATAATAAAAAGTCTGGTTATTTTTACTTGAATGATTAAATCATTGACTTTGAGTACATGTTGAATTCTCATACTATTTTTCAACATGAAGCCTGTTTTATTTGTGTTTAATGTTGTAATGTTTAGAGCGATCTGATGACGACTAAAAGGTTTAGGGTACATTTTACTACGTATATTTAATTATTGAATGGCTATAAAACTTGAGGATATGCTATTGTTTGTGATTCGATCGTTTTAGCGAATTTCCCAAATAGGGAATAAGCTATTACCGTAGGTCTCATGGTAAGACCTGGACACGGGACTGATTTACTTTTCCTTTTGAGGTCCTCAGAGGCCAAAAACACCATTAGTTCAAATTCATTTCCATGTTGTTCTTATGGAAGTAAATGAAACTGTTGTAGTTTACTTATTTATGGATAGGCCTATATGTTGATAAAATTTGGCAAATTTATTTATTTCATCCTATGCTATTGTCGTTTGTCCAAAAAAATTTACCTTCGCCGTAGCAGCAAACCTAAGCACTCGTTACATCTAATGTTATTTAAATTGGGAATAAATATGTCTTTATGGAAATATTTTAGTAAAAATGTAATCAGACAAGTTGAAATTCGCTTAGTCTGCAGGTCTGCTGCGGCGGGGGTATTTTGATATTGTGATAGTTGTATGAGATCAAATCCTATGTTTCATAACAAGTTACCATTGCATTTAGAAACCATGGTAGACATATTATGGTCCAACTACTGTATCCATAAATCTATAAGGGTTGTATTTAATATATTAATGTCTATTCATTCAACGGTTGATCAATGGACCAGAAACGTTCAAAGATAAGACAGATGTTAGCTGAAAGTGCAAGTCAAGGAGTGATACAGTGTAGCCTAGGTTAGGACGGTTGGCGATAGTCGGGTAGTCTCGCACATGATAAGGCGCGGGGTGTTGTCAAGTGGAGGGGGGAGGAGGGGTGTGTTTCCGTGTTTCTGGAGGGGAGCCGACAGAGCCGCGTCAGTTTTACCTCGATTCACGCATTTTCAGTGATGCCTGTGAGTGTTGTAGGTTAGTGTAGTTTAGATCACCATGGCACTCTCCGTGCTGCCGGATACCGCACCTAAGAAGGGTGAGTTTCAGTGTTTGTATATATGAACTAATAATGACGCTATTCAAGCCCATATATATATTTGAATATATATATATATATTTTTTTTTACGTTTTTCGCCGTGTTTACATAGAAATAGTAGTTTGCAAAATTTTTGTTATTATTGTTGTAGTTTTATACGGAATGGGTACGGTAGCTAAAGGTTTTACCAAATATGAACGACACTATTCAAGGATACATATATATATTTAAATATATATATATGTGAGGTTTTTCGCCGTGTTTACATAGAGGTAGTAGTTTGCAAAATTTGAATTATTATTGTTGTAGTTTTATACGAAATTGGTACGGTAGCTAAAGGTTTTTGCAAACATTGATAAAGTAAACATGTATATTTGTGACGTTTACTTAATCGCATTTATTGAGATTGTAGTTTGCAAAATGGTCAATATTATTGTTGCGATTTTAAAACCGATAGCCCAGGTTTATCCAAGTATTAACTGAATATTTAACTGTTGACTTCAATTAATTAAATGTAAATATGCATATTTTTGAAATTTACTTAATTGTGTTTACATTGTCGTAGTTAGGGAATTTGTTCATTAGTATTGTAGCCTTCATGTAATTAACAAGTGAAGGGGGTGGGTGTAAGGGTCTATCCGGATACTAATTATGAATTTAATTGTTTAATACAATGTATTAAAATGTAAACTTTAAACTCATTTTGTTACTTGCGTTACAGTTTTACAGTGTTTACTTAAAAACATTAGTTTGTAAAATTGTTTCTTTACATATGCATTTATAATTAGAGACTTATAGAAGCTAATGTACAAATTAACCGCAAAACTGTTGACTTCAAGTAATTAAATATCAGTATTTTAATTATTGGTTTGTTATTTTTTCTTCACTTTGTTTAGTTAGAGACAGCATTTTGTATTGTTGCATTGGTAGCCATTGTAGTTTTATTTAAAACCGACATGGTTACTGAAGTTCATCAAATATAAATCTTTTGATACTTTTAAATACCGGTATATAATAACTAATATAGTGGTACACAAGGTATTCTACAATTTGCAACTAAATCTGTATTTTACAACGAATATCATGCAGTTCTATAAGTAACAATTGTGTTACATGTTTCGGTGAGATGCAATCGTCGGACACTTCAGTCCAGGGAATACATTGAATCAGCTTGATTAGCTTCATTGATGTTTAAATACGAACACACATTCAACACACGACACATACGGATTTGACATAGAAATGTTTGTAACAGGATAGGCCTATCACGGAACACAACATTGCCGGCACGCGAGCAAAGACTCCCCGTCTTATTATTTGTACTTTCACGTTGTTTTGTTTACATGAAGACACTAGGAACAAGATCTTTGAACTATATTACACAATTATATTCAAAAGCACTGTCTGGCAAATTGTGTGTAAGTGACTTCAACAAAACTTTTAAATTCTCAATTAAATTGTATTTTGCATGCAGTTACTCTTCTAAATAGTAATGTGGCTGCAATAGTAGTATTGCACATCGATGTATATAAGCTAACGGTTAGGTTATATACATCGATGGTATTGCACGAATAATTGTACTCTTGAACAGATGTCAGTTAATATATACAATCATATTACACGCAATGCAAAGATATACAGTACAGTATATCTCATTAGCAACTATTGAATGGTATATAGGCTACATTGTGTTTAATATTTCAACGCTATTCATAATCATTTGGTCATATTAGTTTTAATTAGGTACGGCCACAGGTTTGGAGTATGGAAACACCGTGCGTTATGATTTATACATAAAACGCAAAACATTAGATAACAATAGGTTATAAATACATATTTATGGTGGAATCATCAATTGTAAACAAAATTTATCAACATTTCAGCATATTTATTGCTGTTACTAATTTTTGTTTAGCTGCTGTTGTTTTTGTTACAACTTTTTGGATTTTACCATGTTAAGTTTAGATTAGTGTTGAGGGTTGTATACCTCAACACTAATTAAAAACTCAACACGCTAAAATCTAGTGGCTGTAACAATAAACAGCAGTAGTAAAACTAATCACAACATTAGCAACAGCAATTTTAATAATCTGTTAATGAAGCAACTACAAAATAAAATAATTCCAATTGAAAATCATATAAATAATCTGTAATAATCGATTAATTTTCCGCAGACTACTTAAATTCATCTAACTTACTACCATATCATAATTATATGCAATTGATACGTAATTACTTTTAAAGTGTTAATCGCGTCATATCCCGTAATAAACTTTTATATTTTTGTTAAATTTTGCTTATTTGCTAATTTTTCAGTACAAGCTAGCTATAATTTAAACATTAGCAGTTTACATAGCAAGATACTGTTACAAGTAGATAAGGAGCTAGTGTCTTGGTTATCTCAAATGGGGCAAGTATGCTGGAGGTCTTCTATATCTTCCTTGTTTATTTGTTTTCGTGACAGGTAAAACTGAATGGTTCAAACGTATCTGACTCGTTTTAAGTGTTAAACTTGAAATAGATCTTCATTTTTACAACTATCCTTGACTTATAAATACTTAAAAATGTATATAAATACAAATTGTTAAAATGTCAGATTTACCTAAGCCTTAGATTATAACATTGTTTAATAAAAATCCAGCGGCTATAAAAATATAAATATATATATATACATACATATTAATAATCTATCTTAAACAAGCCTAGTTTTACTTAGCAACATTCTTTCAGAGATTTCCCTGAGACAATAGAAACACAAACAAAAGCCAAACTTCCAATTACATAAACATATTCTCGTATACTTCACGTGGGTAAACAAGTAAGCAGTGTAGGTTTTGTTGGATTTTTACAAAACAGAATCTTACACGATTGGTTGACGGTTAATAATAGATATAGCAAATGATGAGTTGATTCTTACAACTTTGCTAAATATGAAATATTACTGTAAATATTTAAAGTAATAATTCAAAGCACATCTTTAAAATAAATACAGAAAGACCAACCCTGTTGTTTAGATGGAGAGATGTGTTAAAGGAATAATGTAGAATAAGGAATTTTGCTTAAAACCCCGATATTAAAATCACATAAATGGTTCTTAATGAGTCGCCATGGTTAATCATTCAGTACAGAAATTAATTTTAGTTGACTACAGTGTATAAAAAACATACTTAGCTATCTAGTTACATTAAAATATCGTATTAAATCAAACAAATTCGTCAAAATGTATTGGAGTTTTCATAATACTGTAATCGTGAATTCTAGATTCATTCAGATAATATATTTCTCGATGGTAGGAAATAGTATTGTTTATGTATAATGACAGTATTCCTAAGTAGTTTTAGATATAATTCGCATATTTTTTTATTTATTAATCATCACAACTTTCCTAAATGTCCTAAAAAATTATAACAAAAATCCAACGAGTCACTTGTTTGGGCTTCAGGGACATCAAAATTAATAGAATTATTCGGTCCCGGGTTTAGGTCTTTCCGTGCCGCCTACGATACGTAGTAGCTTCTTCCCTATGGTGAAATTCGCTAAACAAATTGCTTGGATCTTCAAGTTGAAGCCACTTACTTTCTAAACAATACATAATAAACTTAAAAGGGTAGTAGAAAATGTTAGGTAATACATTTTGAATTTTGTGTTAAGTGTTAAATCTTAAATATTATGCAATTTACAAATTATTTGAAGGAACTCTTTTTTATTTTCTTTCCTATGGCGACATTCACTAAAACACATGTTTAATCATCAGGTGAATCCAATCTATGAAAAATACCTAATAAAGTTATTGGTTAATAAATATAAGGTACCGCAATCACTTTTTTAAATTTTGTATAAGTCTCCAAACCTGCAGTATTTTGCGGTGTAAAAACAATTTTTAAAGATAATCTTTTTTATGTGTAAATGCATTATTTAACTATCGTCTCATCCTTAAATTGATGTGGCAATTACTGTATCTATTAATTTTACCAGTCATTTAACCCTCTAAAAATGTGCTTTGAGCATTTTACGCTTATAAAAGAAACACATGTTACTCTGAACAATCCGTCCGTTTGATAACAGTACAAGTCGGTATTCTTTGTGCTTCTGGCTAAACCTAAAGAATGAGCCAAATTGACTTATTCCTTAGACCCCTCTGTCGTATCTATTTAACATAACATCGACTTATAAGACCCCTCATTAGCCTCCCCAATGAGAAGTGGTTCACCTTCATTTACATCCGTAACCGTGTATTTACATTACCAATCTACCCTCAAACCCATCTCAAACAAGGGAGTCTTTAGAAGTTTAGAATTGCTAAATACGTCGTGAATAAAAAAAATCGTAACAAAAGAAAAGTTAAAATTTTTGAATTCGTTTGGAGTTGGGGAAGCGTTTGGTTGGTAAAAAAATAGGAAAAGGAGAAAAACATGGTTTTAAAATAATTTGAGAACTGAATTTTAGAATTGTTCTCTAATAATATACGTTTGGACGCACAACGGCCTGCGCCTTCAATGCTCGAAAGTCAATTTGGATACAGCGAGAACAGCGGGCTGCGTCTAGCATTGGGGAACAATGTTTCATACAAATAGTTACTCATGAGAAGTAAACTATGATGTTCCGTTCAATGGTAGTCAAATTTACAACTATTTGAATGTCACAAGCTAAAAAAATAACTTATGAAAAATAACGTACACATCAATGGTTTAGACCGCCACCGAAACTGGTAGCAAACACAGGAACGCGTAGTTAAAAACTTGTGTAAATCCCGTTTTTGCAGTTTTACATTATTTCACCATGGCTGACTTGATTGGAACACTAACAAGCTTAAAATTTTCTAGAAAGTCTGCATGTATAAACTGAGATGATGGAAAAGGTAATTAGATAAAGTTTAAAATTATGCATATTTTGCATGACAATTTACAAATAATTATATCAATGCAAAGTAAAAATAAATACATTTAAAATATTTTAAAAATCTATTTTAAACACTTTTTTCATCAAATGTGGGGCACAG